AAGAGAGAGAAAAGAGAGAGACTAGAGAGAGACTAGAGAGAGACCAGAGAGAGACAAGAGAGAGACAAGAGAGAGACAAGAGAGAGACAAGAGAGAGACTAGAGAGAGACTAGAGAGAGACTAGAGAGAGAACAATAGAGAGACTAAAGAGAGACCAGAGAGAGACCAGAGAGAGACAAGAGAGAGACAAGAGAGAGACTAGAGAGAGACTAGAGAGAGACTAGAGAGAGACAAGAGAGAGACTAAAGAGAGACTAGAGAGAGACTAGAGAGAGACAAGAGAGAGACTAAAGAGAGACCAGAGACTAGAGAGAGACTAGAGAGAGACAAGAGAGAGACTAGAGAGAGACTAGAGAGAGACTAGAGAGAGACAAGAGAGAGACTAAAGAGAGACCAGAGCGAGCCTAGAGAGAGACTAGAGAGAGACAAGAGAGAGACTAGAGAGAGACAAGAGAGAGACTAGAGAGAGCCTAGAGAGAGACTAGAGAGAGACTAGAGAGAGACTAGAGAGAGACTAGAGAGAGACTAGAGAGAGACTAGAGAGAGACTAGAGAGAGACTAGAGAGAGACAAGAGAGAGACAAGAGAGAGACTAGAGAGAGACAAGAGAGAGACTAGAGAGAGCCTAGAGAGAGACTAGAGAGAGACTAGAGAGAGACAAGAGAGAGACTAGAGAGAGACTAGAGAGAGACTAGAAAGAGACTAGAGAGAGACTAGAGAGAGACAAGAGAGAGACTAGAGAGAGACTAGAGAGAGACAAGAGAGAGACTAGAGAGAGCCTAGAGAGAGCCTAGAGAGAGCCTAGAGAGAGACTAGAGAGAGACAAGAGAGAGACAAGAGAGAGACCAGAGAGAGACCAGAGAGAGACAAGAGAGAGACTAGAGAGAGACCAGAGAGAGACTAGAGAGAGACTAGAGAGAGACTAGAGAGAGACAAGAGAGAGACTAGAGAGAGACTAGAGAGAGACTAGAGAGAGACAAGAGAGAGACAAGAGAGAGACTAGAGAGGGACAAGAGAGAGACTAGAGAGAGACTAGAGAGAGACTAGAGAGAGACTAGAGAGAGACAAGAGAGAGACTAGAGAGAGACTAGAGAGAGACTAGAGAGAGACAAGAGAGAGACAAGAGAGAGACTAGAGAGGGACAAGAGAGAGACTAGAGAGAGACTAGAGAGAGACTAGAGAGAGCCTAGAGAGAGACTAGAGAGAGACTAGAGAGAGACAAGAGAGAGACTAGAGAGAGACTAGAGAGAGACTAGAGAGAGACTAGAGAGAGACCAGAGAGAGACTAGAGAGAGACAAGAGAGAGACTAGAGAGAGACTAGAGAGAGACTAGAGAGAGACAAGAGAGAGACTAGAGAGAGACTAGAGAGAGACTAGAGAGAGACGAGAGAGAGACAAGAGAGAGACTAGAGAGAGACAAGAGAGAGACTAGAGAGAGACTCGAGAGAGACTAGAGAGAGACTAGAGAGAGACAAGAGAGAGACTAAAGAGAGACAAGAGAGAGACAAGAGAGAGACTAGAGAGAGACTAGAGAGAGCCTAGAGAGAGACTAGAGAGAGACTAGAGAGAGACAAGAGAGAGACTAGAGAGAGACAAGAGAGAGACTAGAGAGAGACTAGAGAGAGACAAGAGAGAGACTAGAGAGAGACTAGAGAGAGACTAGAGAGAGACAAGAGAGAGACAAGAGAGAGACTAGAGAGGGACAAGAGAGAGACTAGAGAGAGACTAGAGAGAGACTAGAGAGAGACAAGAGAGAGACAAGAGAGAGACTAGAGAGAGACTAGAGAGAGACCAGAGAGAGACAAGAGAGAGACTAGAGAGAGACAAGAGAGAGACTAGAGAGAGACTAGAGAGAGACTAGAGAGAGACAAGAGAGAGACTAGAGAGAGACTAGAGAGAGACAAGAGAGAGACTAGAGAGAGACTAGAGAGAGACTAGAGAGAGACTAGAGAGAGACAAGAGAGAGACTAGAGAGAGACTAGAGAGACATAAGAAAGAGAGACAGCATAAAAATGTAAAACAAAAAATGTAAACGTGAGGTCACTATTTGCCTCTTTGGGCTGTGAGCTGATTGGTTGAGAGAGGGTGGTCCTCTCTTTGATCTGAAGATGAGACCAAAACAGAGATACATGAAAGAAGTGACAGAAGCAACTGTTATAGAGACGGAAACTACTGCTGCATATTTACAAGAGCCCTGGGAGTCCTGGTTCAGTCCTGGTTCAGTCCTGGTTTAGACCTGGATTAGTCCTGGTCTGGACTAAAGTTCTGAATCCTGTTTTGTCGCTCTCGTCTTTTTTAACATTGTGTGAGTTTTTTTTTGTCGTGGCCTTGAACAAACAGAACGCCACCGTTATGGTTCAGGATCTGCTTTTTCAGACGTGTCTTTTGACTTTGATCCTCTGGTCTTTCTGAGTCATTGCAGAGGCCTTTTCCCTTGACAAAAATCCCTTGATCGCTTACTTGATCTGGAGACTGCTTCAGTCTTAGACACACACCCTCCCTGTGCTACTGTTGTTTCACAGCATGTGTATATTGTGTGTGTGTGTGTGTGTGTATATATATTGTGTGTGTTTGTTCGTGTGTATATTGTGTGTATGTTTGTGTGTATATTGTGTGTGTATGTTTGTGTGTATATTGTGTGTGTATGTGCGTGTGTATGTGGGTGTGTATATTGTGTGTGTATGTGCGTGTGTATGTGGGTGTGTATATTGTGTGTGTATGTGCGTGTGTATGTGGGTGTGTATATTGTGTGTGTATGTGCGTGTGTATGTGGGTGTGTATATTGTGTGTGTATGTGCGTGTGTATGTGGGTGTGTATATTGTGTGTGTATGTGCGTGTGTATGTGGGTGTGTATATTGTGTGTGTATGTGCGTGTGTATGTGGGTGTGTGTATATTGTGTGTGTATGTGCGTGTGTATGTGGGTGTGTATATTGTGTGTGTATGTGCGTGTGTATGTGGGTGTGTATATTGTGTGTGTATATTCGTGTGTATATTGTGTGTGTATGTGCGTGTGTATAATGTGTGTGCATATTGTGTGTGTATATTGTGTGTGTATATTGTGTGTATACTGTGTGTGTATATTGTGTGCATATTGTGTGTACATGTTTGTGAGTAGATAATGAGCCACAGCTGCTCCCTGCCTCACACCTCTCTCCCTGGACTCCCACTCCAGTCCTCCTGGGGTCTGGACCCAAACTGGTGCCGGCCTGGGCCTGGCCTGGAATAGGGTTAGGGTCTGGATGTGGATCGGGTCTGGTCTGGACCTGGTCTGGAACTGGTCTGGATCCGGTCTGGACCTGGTCTGTGCCTGATCTGGGCCTGGTCTGGACTCGGTCTGGATCCGGTCTGGACCTGGTCTGTGCCTGATCTGGGCCTGGTCTGGACTCGGTCTGGATCTGGTTTGGATCCGGTCCCTCGGCTGTGGTGATTAAATCTGCTACTGTTGTTGTTGACACCCCCCCCTCCTTTTTAACTCACAATGCACCAGGGTGATCTCACATGGACCACAGAGACCAGAGTGAGACCAGGATTATGTTTGATAGTGTTCACAACAGACAGTAGGAAGGCAGGAAATGTACTTGTATAGCGCACTCTCATTTATACAAGTACATTTCCAAACACAGTCCAGATGAGAATTTAGTTTTTCTTTGAACACAGTGTAATCTGCAGGTGTGTATGTGTGTTTATTGTGTGTGTGAATGTTTATTGTGTGTGCATATGTAATGTGTTTATTGTGTGTGTGTTTTTGTGTGTTTGTTGAAGAATGGCCACCGTCTTCTTCTGTTACAGCGAGAAGCTAACGCCGCGGAGGAAACGCCCACAAAAGAAAACTGTTAATTTTGTTTCATTTACAAGGAGCATCATGGGAGAAAGCTATTCCTCCTACTTTTAGTTTAACATAAGAGAGGCGCCAGAACAGAGCTGCCACATGTGACGGACACACAATATCTGTTTGAGTCACGTTTCATATTTTTGCGAAAAAAGAAAAAGGCAAACCTTCAATTCAATTCAACGGTCTTGTGTCTCGCTCTAAATCATGTTTGTGAGGACTTTACACAGTTGTGGATTCACCGACAATAGATCAGTAAATCAAAAAGTTCAGGAAATGCAACAACAAAAAACACATTGGGGCCATTGTAGATCCAGGACTGAGGCTGTAGACTGAGGCTGTAGATCCAGGACTGAGGCTGTAGACTGAGGCTGTAGATCCAGGACTGAGGCTGTAGATCCAGGACTGAGGCTGTAGATCCAGGACTGAGGCTGTAGATCCAGGACTGAGGCTGTAGATCCAGGACTGGGGCTGTAGACTGAGGCTGTAGATCCAGGACTGAGGCTGTAGATCCAGGACTGGGGCTGTAGATCCAGGACTGAGGCTGTAGATCCAGGACTGAGGCTGTAGATCCAGGACTGAGGCTGTAGATCCAGGACTGAGGCTGTAGACCCAGGACTGAGGCTGTAGATCCAGGACTGAGGCTGTAGACCCAGGACTGGTCTCCCTATGAAGAAAATCTTTTACATCATTTTACATATAGGCCAATCGGAGCCGGAGAGAGTGAGAATAAAAGTCCCCCATTAGCGCTCCACTATTTGGGCTTCATTGAGCTAGCCTGTTAGCATTGTCCATCTGTATACAGCCTCTGGGATGGAGCGAGGGGTGCCAAGTTGCAACATGCTTGAAAATCTAAATCTTTTTCTTTAATCCGGGCCTAAACTTCTCCCAAACTCCTCTAACTTTCCCCGCTGCTTTGTCCTGCTCCTCTCCACATATTTCCTCCTCTCTTGTTATATTCACCTACTTTTCATACATTCCGTGTGCACTTAACTCGCTCCTCTGTGTGTTTCCCATTGTGCCGTGCGCGGACCAATCAGCTCGCAGCTCGGCCGGGACGGAGTGACAGCGGCAGCGAACAAAAGACGCCGCAGCATCGGAGAAAGAGAGGAGCGATGGCATCCATATTCCCCCTGCATTAACCTCCTCTCCGGGCTCAAAGCGCTGCCTAATGGAGGAGAGAGAGCGACAAAGAGAACCGCGGTATTCAGGTGTCATCGGCGAAATGGGGAGCGCCAGACACAGATGTAGAAATCCATTTGAGCGGAATAAATATGAGCGAGAGGCGGCAACGCGAGACGCACAAACACACAAACTGGTGAAAGTGACGGAGACTCGGAGAAACAAGGAGGAAGCGAGGCGAAGGAGGTGTTAATTCTGTCTGTGTTTGTTCAGGGACGAGAATCAATACGGCGATAAAGACAAAACAAGGGTTTAAATTGTATTGTTGTTGATGGAGGCATTGATCCAGACCATAAACAAACATCATAACACTCTGTCTGAATACAGATGGGCAACGCTAACAAGCTAGCTCAACGGAGAACAACAGGGGAATGGAAGTTTGGCACCAGCTCTCTCCAGGCTCTATTGACTTACTTGAGTTAGAACACGGCCCGCCAAGCAGTTTAATCCAGCCCGTTGCTCAGTTTTCATAAAAAGTGTACTTTTTTTTGGCATTTTCTACACTGTTTTGATGCATCTGAGGCGCTTTTCGAGGCCCCAGCCCCTCGAGCAGCGGGGCATTGGTGGCCAGCTGCTGTTATTTGTGAAGACATTCGTAAGATGAGATCGTGCACTTGTCACCAGACCAGAGAGAGGAAGAGAGACCAGGGAGAGGAAAAGAGACACCAGCGAGACAAGAGAGAGACCAAAGGGATGCCAGAGAGAGACCGAAGAGAGGAAGAGAGACCAGAGAAAAGTACATTAAACTCCTCAAGCTCAGTAACATTTGTGTCACACCATTTTTGTTTATTGTTCTCTGTGATCCTGGTGTTTATATTGTGATATTGTCAATCCAGATATAAACCATATGAGGATTGACCAATCAGAGGCCTTCATGATGACCACACATGGCAACACTTGTGCTTCAGATCACTGATTGTGGAATCTTGGTCCACTCCTCTTGATGAGTGAAGTTGCTGGATATTGGCAGGAACTGGATTAGTCATATCTAGCGATCCAGAAGATCCCACCCTGAGAATTCTGGGTAATGTTATTTATTTATTTATATTAAAGTAGGTGAAAAATAAATTATGTTTAAATGATCTGGGATTAAGTATTGTTCGGTCTGGGGTACAGTCTTGGTTCAATCCAGAGGAGGCGGTTGCCATGGAAACAGTTAGGTGATCCACACCTCCATTAGAATAATGGACATTAAAAATTGGTTTGTAAGTGGACTAAAGCAGAGACTAAAGTAGAGACTAAAGAGACTGAAGCAGAGACTAAAGCAGAGTCTGGCCTTTCATTTACATGAAGACGGGGTTTCTGAGGGATGAAAACGGAAGGTGTGAATTCTCTGCCTGTTACGACCTCCTCTTCCCCGCATGTACATTTGGACATGCACCGTAGACAAGATCAAACGTAAACAATTGATCAACTAATGCTTTGTCTGCTTCGAGCGCTACACGGAGAATTCTATTCCAAAACCACGCAAATCTGTAGTTTCATTTTCCATTTTCACTGCCGCTGTTAAATGGGGAATGATTTTAAGATAAGATAAGATAGACTTTATTGATCTCAAACAGGAGAAGTTTACATGTCACATCTGGCATGGATAGAAACACTCAAGATTGTGCAAAAGAAAGAATTGTGCAAACATGTTAAATGCAGGATATAATATGTACAATAAAAAGTGGCAATCAAAGAAACAGTGGCAACAGTAGTGCAGGTGTTTAGTCCTAGTGCAAGTGACTTCAAGTGACTTACTGTACATATGTGTTATTACATTGTACTGATTGTATTGTAGTGACTTATTGTGTTTTGGTGCATTCTTTCATCTGTTTGCGATGACCTGAACAGGATGTTGTTGAGGAAGTGAATGTATTGGAGGGGGTCATGCATGTTGTGTTGTAAAGTTCCACTGCCCACAACTGGCCGGGCGCTAGAACTAAATTGTTATCCGTCAACGTGTAGACGCTTAGCACTTCATTTACAACTTCAACTTTTTGGAAATTGCATTGAAGCATCTCCATCTAAATGAGGCCTAAAACAGGTCTAAAGCAGGTCTAAAGCAGGCCTAAAGCAGGTCTAAAGGAGGCCTAGGGCAAGTCTAAAGCAGGTCTAAAGCAGGCCTAAAGCAGGTCTAAAGCAGGCCTAAAGCAGGTCTAAAGCAGGTCTAAAGCAGGTCTAAAGCAGGCCTAAAGCAGAACTAAAGCAGGTCTAATGCAGGTCTAAAGCAGGACTAAAGCAGGTCTAAAGCAGGTCTAAAGCAGGCCTAAAGCAGGCCTAAAGCAGGTCTAAAGCAGGTCTAAAGCAGGCCTAAAGCAGGTCTAAAGCAGGCCTAAAGCAGGTCTAAAGCAGGCCTAAAGCAGGTCTAAAGCAGGCCTAAAGCAGGTCTAAAGCAGGTCTAAAGCAGGCCTAAAGCAGGTCTAAAGCAGGTCTAAAGCAGGTCTAAAGCAGGCCTAAAGCAGGTCTAAAGCAGGCCTAAAGCAAGTCTAAAGCAGGTCTAAAGCAGGTCTAAAGCAGGTCTAAAGCAGGTCTAAAGCAGGCCTAAAGCAGGCCTATGGCAGGTCTAAAGCAGGCCTAAAGCAGGCCTAAAGCAGGTCTAAAGCAGGCCTAAAGCAGGTCTAAAGCAGGCCTAAAGCAAGTCTAAAGCAGGTCTAAAGCAGGCCTAAAGCAGGCCTATGGCAGGTCTAAAGCAGGCCTAAAGCAGGCCTAAAGCAGGTCTAAAGCAGGCCTAAAGCAGGTCTAAAGCAAGCCTATGGCAGGTCTAAAGCAGGCCTAAAGCAGGCCTAAAGCAGGTCTAAAGCAGGTCTAAAGCAGGCCTAAAGCAGGTCTAAAGCAGGCCTAAAGCAGGCCTAAAGCAGGCCTAAAGCAGGCCTAAAGCAGGTCTAAAGCAGGTCTAAAGCAGGTCTAAAGCAGGACTTAAAGGTGCTCGTTGTCATGGGACTCAGCTGCTGTTTGAAGGTAAATGTTGAAATGTGACTCAAGAATTTGACAAACTCACCATCTCTGGACTGTGCAAAAAAAGAAGTGAAAAAACAAAACAGCGACAAATGTTCCAGACACTGTTTAAACAGCAGCTGAGACCGACACACCACCAGGAGTGACACACACAGAGACACACACGCTCGCACACACACCCACGCACACACACACACACACATAGAGACACACTCACACACACACGCACTCACGCACACACACACAAACACCAGAGAGAGACCAGAGAGAGACCAGAGAGAGACCAGAGAGAGATTAGAGAGAGAACAGTCTCTGTCTCAGTCTCTATATTTGTCCTGGTTCTCAGTTTGTTGTGACTCCCTCACTCACCCCTCCCTCACTCACCCCTCCCTCCCTCACCCCTCCCTCACTCACCCCTCCCTCACCCCTCCCTCCCTCACCCCTCCCTCCCTCACCCCTCCCTCACTCACCCCTCCCTCACTCACCCCTCCCTCCCTCACCCCTCCCTCACTCACCCCTCCCTCCCTCACCCCTCCCTCCCTCACCCCTCCCTCACTCACCCCTCCCTCACTCACCCCTCCCTCACTCACCCCTCTCTCACTCACCCCTCCCTCCCTCACCCCTCCCTCCCTCACCCCTCCCTCACTCACCCCTCCCTCACTCACCCCTCCCTCCCTCACCCCTCCCGCCCTCACCCCTCCCTCACTCACCCCTCCCTCACTCACCCCTCCCTCACTCACCCCTCCCTCACTCACCCCTCCCTCCCTCACCCCTCCCTCACTCTCGTCTCTCACGCTGAACTCTTTGTTGCAGATTTGTTCATCTAAACAGTTTGAATTGTTTCACTCATCGCGTTCCTGAGCGATCGTCCTCCAGAGACCGAGTCTGCAGTCTGGCCCTGGTCCAGCTTTGGTCCAGGTCTGGTCCAGGCCTGGGGTCTCCATCAGCAGCCCGTAGATCTCTTCATTATGAGCTCAGATGTCCACACTCTCACACGTTCACAGCAGAGAGAAGAAAACAAACACACGGAGAAGACACATGACACTGGAGCCAAACCTGGGCCCATTCTCTTCACACTCTCCGAGCCGCTGTGAGGCAACATCATTAAAGAGCATGGGATTAACTTCTGCTGATAATCAGACCGCGTTGGGGAAGTCACTTTTAAAAATGTACGTTACTCTTTACTTCTTTACTTTACTTTTATGCCGTTATGCTAGACTTTGAGCAACACAGTCCTTAAATATGTTGGGAAAGTTCTACCATAAAGATCATAACGTATTTGGCGCAAAGCATTCACCTCGTCCGCTGCACAGAACCGGGAGAACCAGACGCGTGCCCAAATATTGGGCGCAACCATGCACCATGAGGGCTTTCGGTCCCCATGGTGGCACTTGCGCCCCCTGAACAAGGGCCACTGATTTAAATAGGGGGCCATCTTCACCAGGGCTTCCTACCTCCTCATCAAAAGAAAAAAAGTCAGCCTCAATCGGCCACAAGACGTGGTTCCTAAAGCCTCAAAAAGCACTATCGGCGGCAGAGCATTTAGCTACCAAGCTCCTTTACTGTACCATCAGCTTCCCATCCACGTTAAGGAAGCAGACACAGTTTAGCACATGGTTTGGAAGGAAAGACTCAGGGAAAACTAAAATTCTAAGATTGTCAGTCAAGCTGCATAGGGAGTCAGTTTGCTGGGAGAAGTATGGTAACTTGCGCACTATCCTCTCCTCCTTCCTACTTTATCTGTTTTGCATTATTAGGATTTTGTCTGTAGTCTGTTCATTGCTATTCACCCGTTGACCCATTGTCTGCCTCAGTCTCTGCTTCAGTCTCTGCAGCTGTTTAGTTTCAATCCTGTTTGTTTTAAATCTTGAATCTTGGATGAGACGCTGTCATCGCTGGAGTCAAAGGTCACACACCAGGAAAAACGGCGAGAGAGGAGCAGAAGAGAGAGACCAGAGATAAAGAGAGAGATACTGTACTTGATCCTCAAAGGAGAAATCCAGGTGTCCAGTAGCAGCAAAAATAAAAAATAAATTGGATCATTCTAAAAAGCTAACAATACTAATAACAAGAGAGCAGAGAGAGGCCAGAGAAACTTGTTTTAGCGCAGGACAGCTGCATCTTTCTGTTGTTACCACGTCTTTTGTGGTTTTTCCTAAAAACATCTGAAATAAAGTTGTTGTTTGCGTTTGTGAAGACGTTAGCATTCGTAAATTGAAACAACTGCACTCTCTAGAAGCTGTTTTATTTATGTGTCCTCTTCATCATTTGTAAACACACATCTCGTGAACAGCCCCATGTTTACACTGGCTCCAGATGCATGCTGGGAAGTGTAGTCTGTGTGCTACGCTAACGAATGCACTGTTGCCTGTTTATGTTTATGGATGTGTTTGACGGCTTCACACTCGGGCGTTGGCCAATGGGAGCGCGGCGTGGGGAGGTGTCGGCCAATGGGAGCGCGGCGTGGGGAGGTGTCGGCCAATGGGAGCGCGACAGAGGCTCTTGCGAACGGAATACATTAAGAGGCGATACTTTGAACTGTGTCACCGAGCTGTCGTTGAGGGCGGGGCTAACAGAGTGGGGGGAGGGGGAGATCCCACTGTAATAAATATAACAACATACAAGTTAAAGCTGTGGTACGTAGCGTTCAAATCACAAACACAAGTCCAAGTCTCAAGTTCCTGGCTCTACAAGAGTTGAGGTCTATCACAAGTCTAAACTAGGACTAAACCAGGACTAGACTAGAACTAAACTAGGACTGAACCAGGACTAAACCAGGACTAAACTAGGCCTAAACCAGGCCTAAACCAGAACTAAACCTGGACTAAACCAGGACTAAACAAGGGTTGAACACAATAGCACTTCCTAGAAAACAAAGTCTTTAGCAGTGCTGGTTTAGACTTTAGTCCTGGTTTAGTCCTCGTTCTTGGTCCAGACTGAACATAACAAAGAGTGAAAGGAGGTGATGACAGCGCGAGGTCTCACTCTGTCACTCACAGCCCGCGGCACTTTATGCAAAACAACCAATTAGGGACCTGCATCTGGACTGAGCCAGGTCTGAACCAGGACTGAACCAGGACTGAATGAGGACTGAGGCGGGTGCGAGCCTGGACTGAGCACGGGTCAGAACTGAACCAGGACTAAATCAACATCTCTTGATTTTTAGCGTTAACTCAAACAGTAGTATGTAATCTTTCTTTACATGCACTCACAGACCAGAGTCACAAAGCACTTTACAACTGTTGTTACAGATGACTCTCTGTTTTTAGTGATAGGGGAAACCGGAACACCTGGAGGAAACCTATGAAGACACAGGGAGAACATGCAAACTCCACACAGAAAAGTCTGGAGGTGGAATTGAACCCAGAACCATCTTATTGTGAGGTAAAAACGCTGGCCACTGCGCCACCGTGCCACTCTCATGGTAACTACCCAGCAACCCGACAGCCAATCAGGAGCAGCGCTGGTCTATAATAAATCTATTATTTAAATCCATGTCTCTAAAACAGTTACTTCCATCACTAGTTTTCACATCATGTGTTTAAGGCCTCTGTCACATCTTTAGAGCCCAAAGAGTCAATTAGTGACTCACCGGGCTCTTTTAGAAATATGAAAAATTTATATCCCAATATTATTACAACAGCTTACCTCAGTCCTGGGTCTACAGCCTCAGTCCTGGACCTACAGCCTCAGTCCTGGATCTAAAGCCTCAGTCCTGGATCTACAGCCTCAGTCCTGGATCCACAGCCTCAGTCCTGGATCTACAGCCTCAGTCCTGGATCTACAGCCTCAGTCCTGGATCCACAGCCTCAGTCCTGGATCTACAGCCTCAGTCCTGGATCTACAGCCTCAGTCCTGGATCCACAGCCTCAGTCCTGGATCTGCAGCCTCAGTCCTGGATCTGCAGCCTCAGTCCTGGATCTGCAGCCTCAGTCCTGGATCTGCAGCCTCAGTCCTGGATCTACAGCCTCAGTCCTGGATCCACAGCCTCAGTCCTGGATCTACAGCCTCAGTCCTGGATCCACAGCCTCAGTCCTGGATCTACAGCCTCAGTCCTGGATCTGCAGCCTCAGTCCTGGATCTGCAGCCTCAGTCCTGGATCTACAGCCTCAGTCCTGGATCCACAGCCTCAGTCCTGGATCTACAGCCTCAGTCCTGGATCCACAGCCTCAGTCCTGGATCTACAGCCTCAGTCCTGGATCTACAGCCTCAGTCCTGGATCTGCAGCCTCACTGAAACTACTGCTGTTGATAAATACTTGAATGGTTTTAGAACGTAGAATTGAGACCAAGGAGGATGAACCTTCAGGTCTTGCTCCTGTGAGAGACTTTGCTTCAGGACATTAGCAGAAACACTTAGGGCCTCTCTAGTGTCATCGAGGTAATGAAGGGCCCCTGTAGTTGGAGTGTGTTGGTTTAAGGGCCCCTGACCTGTGGCCCCAGGCTCACGGAATGAGGCTCCACTCTCACCTCTTTGTGGATCGCAGGACGTTAAGACGAGAAAAGAAGAAAGAGGAGAGAGGGAGGGAGAGGCGATCGATGAGTGTTTGAGCTGTTTCAACACATACACAGGAAATAGTCATTATGACCAGAAAGAGACTAGAGAGAGACCAGAGAGAGATCAGAGAGAGACCAGAGAGAGACCAGAGAGAGACCAGAGAGAGACCAGAGAGAGACCAGAGAGAGACCAGAGAGAGACCAGAGAGAGACCAGAGAGAGACCAGAGAGAGACCAGAGAGAGATCAGAGAGAGACCAGAGAGAGACCAGAGAGAGATCAGAGAGAGACCAGAGAGAGACCAGAGAGAGACCAGAGAGAGACCAGAGAGAGACCAGAGAGAGACCAGAGAGAGATCAGAGAGAGATCAGAGAGAGACCAGAGAGAGACCAGAGAGAGACCAGAGATAGATCAGAGAGAGACCAGAGAGAGACCAGAGAGACCAGAGAGAGACTAGAGTGAGATACTGCAGTGAGAGAGCAGAGAGAGACCAGAAAGAGACTAGAGAGACCAGAGAGAGACCAGAGAGAGACCAGAGAGAGACTAGAGTGAGAGACTGCAGTGAGAGAGCAGAGAGAGACCAGAGAGAGACCAGAGAGAGACCAGAAAGAGTCCAGAGAGAGACCAGAAACACCAGGGAGAGACTACGCTCTGAAAGTGTTTGTTGGTTAAATATTTTCAGTGTTTTGTTGAAACTCGTCTTTAATCCCTTGTTTTCTGTTCGTTCAGGTACAAGGATGATAATCCTCTTCACCTCAGACTGACTCTCTCTCACACACACACACACACACATACATGTTTTTGCTACATGGTGAGGACCAAATTTTTTGGTGTGTTTAGGACCTACCGCGTGGGGTCCTCACTTTGAACAAGAATTTAAGGCATGTCTTAAGTCATAAAAAAATGATATAAAGACAGATAATTTTTTTGGACTGTGGTCTTCCTGAAATCATGTTAATCATCACAATTCATTTTTATTTTTTTTGTCCGATTTTTCTATTCTCCTGGGGACCTCATACCATAAACCACCAGCGGGTGTCACTATTAAAAAAACCTTGTTTTAGTGATGCCTAGTGGGGACCTTTCTTCACACATGAACAGAACTATTACAAATGTATATGAAAGCTTTTCATTTTGATGAAAAGATCCTGCTGAAGAAGGTAAACATTAATAACATTCATAAGTAAGCTGAATTTTAAGAAAGATGGGTATCATATTTTTATTAACTTCGTATTGAATTGAGTGTATCTCCATCTTGACTATTTACTGTAATTATGTATTGATTAATGATCTGTGCACCTAAGACTAATAAACAAAGTTTAAATAATATATCTTTTTTATTATTATTCTTAGCAACATGTGCATATTATTTTCTGCATAATCATGAAATTATGTTGAATTGATAGTATCACTATGAACTAAAACTAATGAGGTATAAGATTCAGCCCACTGCTTAATGCACATTTTGGTGCATGAATGAGAGCATGGATGAGTGGATCCTTGATTTAAGCGCTTTGAGTGTCTAACAAAGGTAGAAAAGTGTTATATAGATGTAACCATTCTCTTTTATTAACTTGTTTTCTGAAAATACCACAAGATGTATGGAAAACAAATCACAACATCTGTAAACTGCACAGCAAACTAGGCAAGGAGAGAGAGAGAGGAGACAAGGAGAGAGGAGAGGTGACAAGGAGAGAGGAGGAGACAAGGAGAGAGGAGAGGTGACAAGGAGAGAGGAGGAGACAAGGAGAGAGGAGGAGACAAGGAGAGGAGGAGACAAGGAGAGAGGAGAGAAAACAAGGAGAGTCAACAAGGAGGAGACAAGGAGAGAGGAGAGAAAACAAGGAGAGAGGAGAGGTGACAAGGAGAGAGGAGGAGACAAGGAGAGGAGGAGACAAGGAGAGAGGAGAGAAAACAAGGAGTCAACAAGGAGGAGACAAGGAGAGAGGGGAGAAAACAAGGAGAGAGGAGAGGTGACAAGGAGAGAGGAGGAGACAAGGAGAGAGGGAGGAGACAAGGAGAGAGGAGGAGACAAGGAGAGAGGAGGAGACAAGGAGAGGAGAGGTGACAAGGAGAGAGGAGGAGACAAGGAGAGAGGAGGAGACAAGGAGAGAGGAGGAGACAAGGAGAGAGGAGGAGACAAGGAGAGAGGAGAGGTGACAAGGAGAGGAGAGGAGACAAGGAGAGGAGAGGAGACAAGGAGAGAGGAGAGGTGACAAGGAGAGAGGAGGAGACATGGAGAGAGGAGAGGTGACAAGGAGAGGAGCGGAGACAAGGAGAGAGGAGGAGACAAGGAGAGAGGAGAGGTGACAAGGAGAGAGGAGGAGACATGGAGAGAGGAGAGGTGACAAGGAGAGGAGCGGAGACAAGGAGAGAGGAGGAGACAAGGAGAGAGGAGAGGTGACAAGGAGAGAGGAGAGGTGACAAGGAGAGAGGAGGAGACATGGAGAGAGGAGAGGTGACAAGGAGAGGAGCGGAGACAAGGAGAGAGGAGGAGAAAGGAGAGAGGAGAGGTGACAAGGAGAGAGGAGAGGTGACAAGGAGAGGAGACAAGGAGAGAGGAGAGGTGACAAGGAGAGAGGAGGAGACAAGGAGAGAGGAGGAGACAAGGAGAGAGGAGAGGTGACAAGGAGAGAGGAGAGGTGACAAGGAGAGAGGAGAGGTGACAAGGAGAGGAGAGGAGACATGGAGAGAGGAGGAGACAAGGAGAGAGGAGGAGACAAGGAGAGAGGAGAGGAGACAAGGAGAGAGGAGAGGAGAGCAGACAAGGAGAGAGGAGAGGAGACAAGGAGAGGGGAGAGGAGACAAGGAGAGAGGAGAGGAGACAAGGAGAGAGGAGAGGAGACAAGGAGAGAGGAGAGGAGACAAGGAGAGAGGAGAGGAGACAAGGAGAAAGGAGAGTGTTTGTTATGCTAATGCTAATTAGCATTAGCATTAGCATTAGTAGTAGACTAGTAGTAGTAGTAGTAGTAGTAGTGATAGTAGCAGTATCAGTAGCATTAGCATTAGCATTAGCAGTAGACTACTAAAAAAACAGAAATTCCTTCTTAGTCATTTTCAAATACATTTAGAGTCCACTGACCACTGGATCTCTAATTTTACAATAATAATATAAATGGCATCGGCAGGATTCGAACCCGCGAGCATTGGATCTCCATCCCTTCACCTTAACCACTCTACCAACAGCGGACCCACATTATGTCGGATATTGACTCGGGGTCATGATTAGGATTTAAGGGAATCTGTTCCGAAGGTCGCACAGGCACAAACCACACCTCTACGGAATCGGCTCGGCCAGCTGAACGCAACGGTGTAAAGCTTTTGACCCTGCATTTTTTAAAAAATACCGCGAATTTTTTAAAAAATGCGCCTCGTTAAGTCTAATTACTCGGCCAAACGAGGTCGTACAACGATAACGGAGGTGTCCTTGGAAAGCCCTAGATGTGACGAGTCACATATATGAGCTGCAGCAAGGTGGCGCTGTCCTCCAACCAAAATCAGGACTTTCCTGGATTTTCCTGGCCACCGAGACCCTCCTCTTTTAAAAAGCGGGTGGCCGAGCCAGTTGAAACTTTGGATTAATGTTCAGCCTGTACGTAGAAGGGTGCGTACCAAGTTTCGACTAGTTTGGATGAAATTTGAACTTTTAACAAGCCTCCAAGCACTTTTTGGGCCTTCAAAAGCCTAACCTTAAAGGGGAGGTGTACCAACATTTCAACTTTGGACTACCAGCCTCATTTTTGACTATGTTACACAGCAGGCTATTCTGAGCTCGAATATGTAGGCGCCCGCTCAAACCGACCAATAGGAAGCAAAGTAGCCAACCGAGTGTCCGAGTGGGTTGAAACTTTAGATTCTCGGTCGGACGGGGTTGAAATGGGCGTGTGCCGAATTTGGACTCGTTTCCATTAAATTTGAAGCCGTGACGAGCTTAATTAGCGTGAGATTTTTTACCGAACGAAGGCCCGCCCACCGAGAACCGTAAGGCCCCCGGAGGTCTACCCTACACCGTTGGACTCGTCTCGTGGCCCTCTACCACATATCCAAAATTCAGGCGTCTAACCCCTTCGGAAGTCCGAGTGACCGTTTTTGGACCAGAAGCTAAAGACGGTCTCAGGACCGTATACCCTTACCCTACCCTAAAAAGCTAGGCAATCAAAGGCCAAAACCTGTTCCGAAGGTCGCACAGGCACAAATCAGACCTCTACGGAACCGGCTCGGCCAGCCGAACGCAACGGTGTACGGCTTTTGTCCCTGCCATGTTCCACCGCGGAGCTAGGGGGCGACAACCGTTTGAAACCGCTCCCCTCGTTAAGTGTTATAACTCGGCCAAACGAGGTCGTAGAGCGATGATAGAGGTATCGTTGGAAAGCCCTTCATGTGACGAGTCACATATATGAGCTGCAGCAAGGTCCGCCAAAATTCAAAATTCATTCACCGATTGTAGGGCCGTTTCAAAAGATACAAAGTTATTAGTATTTTCCCAGGTATCGCAACGACACAGGCTATGACCTGTCGAAATTGTAGAGCTCTAGCAGCAACTTTGCGCAAAAGTGTGGGAATTAGAACTGGCCCCTATTTTTCCCGCTATCCCAGCGACACAGGCTATGACCTGTCCAAATGGTAGAGCTCTAGATCTAACTTTGCGCAAAACTTGGGAATAAGAACTTGCCCTTCATTGAGCGTGTCCAGCTGGTGTCAGAGACACCGCTGTGTGAGTGGAGACCCAAAAACCCATTAAGTTAGCATTAGCATTAGCATTAGCATCACCATTGACATCACCATTAACATTAGCTTTAACATTAACATTAGCATTAGCATTAGCATTAGCATTAGCATTAGCATTAGCATCACCCTTTGACATCACCATTAACATTAGCTTTAACATTAACATTAGCATTAGCATTAGCATTAGCATCACCATTGACATCACCATTAACATTAGCTTTAACACTAACATTAGCATTAGCATTAGCATTAGCATTAGCATCACCATTGGCATCACCATTGACATCACCATTAACATTAGCATTAGCATTAGCATCACCAGTGGCATCACCATTGGCATCACCATTGACATCACCATTAACATTAGCTTTAACATAACAATTAACGTTAGCATTAGCATTGGCATCACCATTAGCATTAGCATTAGCATCACCAGTAGACCAATAGTAGTAGTAGTAGTAGTGTAGTAGTAGTAATAGTAGCATTAGCGTGGACATTAGCATGGTTAGCATCTTTATCGGTAATATTGAATAACATATAAATGTGGAAGCTCCCTTATACTTCCAGATTTAATGGACGTACATATAAATCTGGAAGAAAAACTTGGAAGTAAGCGATTTCAATGCAAAGTCAATGGGAAAATCAGGATGATGAATTCAGGAGTAAAAAGTGCCTCTACTCAGCACTTTTTACTCCTGAATTCATCACATCTGAATCAATGAGCTCACGTTTTACATTCAATTACGTATTATAATACAACTTGAATGTAGTAACTTGGCGTGACGCTCGCTCTCCTCCAATCACACAACGAGGCTGCGTTAGCCTCTATAGCGCTAACACAGAGGCATGTTAGCATAGGTGGCTATAACTCCTCTGGCAGTAACTGCAGACACAGCAAAACAGCCCAAACCACACAACAGTGAGGAAGAGAAGAGGAACTAAAGCTCGAATATCTACGCTCGGACTATCTCTGTTCAAACTACGTTTGGACGGGAAACTAGCGGTAATCTTTCAGTGATATATTTTGTTACTTTTGTACCATTTTATTAGTGATTATTGTACAGCTTACAAGAACTTGCGCTCATGCTAATGTTAGCATACATACCAGATCGCAAATAAAACTAGACTGAGAGAGCGTAAGGGAAATGAGAAGCCTGTGAGCAAGTTGGGGGTGGTCCTAAACATTAAAACCTTGCAGAAACGCGTATAGTTCCTTTAATTCACCTGTTCCTCCAGCTCTAGGAGGCAACTTCTGTTGTGATTTTGGACTATTCAAAACCATTGATTGATTGAAAACTAAAAATGCAAGGAATCATGACAAACTGTGATTAACAAATCTTACAAAATTCTTGAACAATAAAACCCAAAAATACCACTTTAGATCATTGCAAATAGTATTGATACAGGTACATAATTTTTTTATTCATTGTTACAGCTTTAGTTGAATGGAAGACCAAATTAGATTTTGGATTTTGGATTTCGATTTAACTGCCTTAGGATACCCGTGTCTATTTCCTTCCTTTTTACTGCCCATTCAGCATCTTCAGTAGTTTGTTAACCTGTTCACTCACAGTGGCACTAAAAGAACAACTCAGAATCTGATTGTCATCCGTTGACCATGACTACACCACTGGTTTGGTCATTGGTGGGAGCCCCAAACACGTCTTTACTCCAGGCGGTGTCTGGGTCATCTTCCGGATGGCTCTGTAGATGTTGGACACAGAAACCTGAGTCCTCCTTGTCGATTTGGCTTTCTAAACCTCTTCCTCATGTCCCTGCTGCCCTTTGCTGTGTTTTGATCCTCCAGCCAGCAGTGTTCATTGTGTCCATTAAAATACTTTATCAAAACTTCAGTAAATATAATTTGTAGGTGACTAAAATTAGACTAAAAATAGTTTTTGAGTAGAAAGCTGTGACTAAAATGTCCAGATGATTTTATCTCCTTAAATGTAACTAAATACAAACATGGGAGGAGAAACAAGAAGCAGAGGAATGTGATTAAATGTAATTATAATGAATTATTATCATTATTATGTTATGGAACATAGTCATCTAAATTTACGTACAATTTCAAGTCAACTAAAACTAGATTTACTTGATGTCTCTTGACATAACTGGGTTTTCACCATCCACACCTGCGTCCAGTTATTTGATCTACGATGTTTGTGTTTAGTCATGACTGAGAACCTACATTGTTTCATATAGATGCATATGTTTATTGAAATTGTGGACTCTTGATAGTGCAATTAATATTGCTGGACTACTGACATTAGTACATTTAAGTTTTCCAATTATATAGCGACACAATTGCTCCATAATAATTCAGTGTACTTCTATATTCATCGGTTAAAGAATATGTCAGTATGTCGAATATTGCTTTTAAAATGCTAGTTTTCATTGTTGATTTGTTTAATTTTGTAATTATTATAAAATATGCTGAAAATTGGGGGTTCAAAAGTTTTATTATCATTATAATTATGTTTAGTAACATCATCATCATTGTTATAATAATCATTCTTATCATAGATGTTATAATTAAATCCTGTGTATTTTTGGTGAAACAAAGTGCCTGTAGAGTGAACACACGCAACAAAAACAACAAAACTTGGTGGGGACTGCAATACTTATATTGACCTTTAGGGGCCGATACTGAGTCCACACACACAACAAGAACACCTAACCTGGTGAGGACTGCAATAATGTGTGTGACCTCCAGGGGCGCAGGGAAATATACACACCTGACATTTTGTCATGAAAATGGGCCCAAAGGGGACTTGTTAGAAAATACCTCCAGGCACCATTAGAGGGTGTTGTGAAGCCTGTAATGGTGCTTTGCCCGTGGGGACCTCATTTTTGGTCCCCACGGGGACACAGGTCCCCACTAGTCTGTGTGCAGTCAGGTTGAGGTCCCCACGATGTAGCAAAAACAAACGCACACACACACACACACACACACACACACACACACACACACACACACACACACACACACACACACACACACACACACACACACACACACACACACACACGACACACACACACACAGTTTAACTATATGTTCTTGGTATTTCATTATCTATAGCTTATCTAATAATCTAAGCTTTAGTCTTTCTTGCATTAAGAATCATCACCAAATTTAACTTTACATAGAGACACAAGATGGAGCTTCCTAAGACACTTTAGCAGGAAGCACACCTTCAAACAGAAAGTTCATTTACAAACAGGAAGTTCATTTACAAACAGGAAGTTCATTTACAAACAGGAAGTACATTTACAAACACAGAAACAGGCCAAAGTCTTCAGCTCTACTGCTGCACCACTGTAAGGTTCTCTCTCAGATCCTGGTTTTGTCATTAGACTTCAGAAGTGCTGCTCGCTGCTGCCCCCCCAAGGCCGATCCCTCTCTCTGGTCTCTCTCTGGTCTCTGTCAGGTCTCTACCTCTAGTCTTTCTCTGGTCTTTGACATCCAAACTTGTATGTTTTCATGGTGTCTGTCTAATCTGCCCCTCGGCCACAGCCTGAACCTGCTCCAACACAGCGACACTTCCTTCAGAACTGTTCATGTGACATC